TTAAACTCTTGTATTCATTGTTTTCCGACCCTAAACTACGGGAATTATGATATGTTCCTTTTTATGGGAAATGCAGGATTTATATCAACCACTGTGGGAACCCCCAGAGCCCCGATACTTTCCTGAGGACCCTGGCTTCCAACCGCGGCGCTCTCCGACTTGCTGCATCGGATCATCGGCGGCGAGGCCGAAGAGACCCCTAAGCCACGCCAAACCATTGAAATTACATCGTATAGGGGCCTCAGTAGTTAGAATTTTGGGGTTTAGAGGTATATTATTGTATTTAATGCTATATAACTATATTCAGGAAGCCCCAAAATAATATTGGCAAGTATTTAGTCGCCTATATTAGCACTTCAGCCCAAGACATGTGGAGCATGCTGAATCATTCATGCTGACGTGCTGAGCACAGTCCCATAAGGGCTGACACCTGACTTCAGTGAGAGTGTGTCTGAGTATCTGGCCTACTTAAAGGATCATGGGACTTAGTAACTAGGGTTATAAATAAGGTAACTATACTTATAGTTACTTATAACCCCAAGGAGTATCTGGCCTAGAGCTTGGGCTGAACGTGTTGTAAGCTGCAGGGTGGCGTGGCATGAGACAGCAAACTGTTGAAGCTGTGAAATCTCGAAGCCACGAGTCTGTGACGAACGCCTTAAACCTCAGGCCTCAGGCCCCATGCCTCAGACCCAGTGCACATCACAAGAAGACTCCTTGACTGTTCGAGTGTCAGCTTTGATGCTCAAAGTCTGAGACGCTCTTTTGTCTCGATCTCTACTCTTTGGCGACCGAAACTGAGATTGGGGAAACGTCGCAGACTTGTGCTTGCCATTCGGCAGATGCTGGGACGCAGATCTCAACTCCTTCTCCCGGAAGCCAGGTGGAGACGTCCACCCCCCAGTACTCGTAGCCTTTCTTTTCTAGCCAGGCAACTTCTGCTTTCTGGGAGTTACCCAGGCCTTCTGCGGATGTGATAAATTCGCGTTCTGCTTCCGGGAGGGATGCGAGGAACAGACGCCGCACTTCTCGGCTGTACTGCGAGGATCCGTCGCCACGTGGATCCTTGGAGAGATTGCCGAGGCCAGCGTTCAGAGCCTGCTCGAATGGAGGAGACTCCTCGAACTCTTTTTGCTTCTTATTAACCCTTTCTCTCTGGAGGTTGTCCTTGCCTGCAGATTCGAAGCTTTCGACCTGGCCTTTGCCCACATGCCTCTGGAAGTAATAAACTTCAAGCTCTGCTCCGGACTCCACCGCCGTCTCGATGTTCTCCCTCCATTTGGTAAACCACCTGCACCCCCAGGGTTTCTGCTCCCCATAGAGGGGTGTGCACCAGCAGGTGCCGGGTAGGCCTTCAGCTTCGGGGATGCTGTCGCACTGGCCGTAGTCCTCCGTGCCCTGCGGGAGGAAGACGACAGCCGCGCTGACCTCGCCGTTTCGGCCCTGAGACACCAGGGATTCCCAGGCTCCCTCGTACTTCCCAGGCCAGCTGGCCACGCAGGGGCGGCCAGGTTCACATAGGACGCTTCCTTCGAAGCGGATGCTCCGGTTGCTGACTTCGCAGTGGGCTTCCTCGCGCTCTCGTTCGAGGGTTTTCCTCTGCTCGTCGTCCATTTCGACGTCGACGAAGCAGCAAACACAGAACATTACGCCACCGCAAATGGCCACAGGCCAAGCGATAACTGCCGTCCACCAGTATCCTCGCAGGGTGTGCTGCACCGTCATGGCTGCGAGAGACAGCAAAGCCAGGATGCCCACTAATCGAAGGCCAACGCGGAGAACCGTGTGATACTTTCCATATTTAAACTGTTCGTCTTCATTCTGACTAGTCCCAAAGAAGGAAGAAATGCTGATGCAACAGCACAGAGGCACAGTAGCACTGGCCAGAAGTGCGGCTGCAACGGTGCTCTCGGGTGGAATGGAAACGCAAACTAGAAGGAGGGCAAATGGGAGCCCAGCGAAAATCCCCATCGCTGCAACATGAGACCACGCCTTTTTGTCCCGTTTCTTGGCGGCGGCCTCCTTGATCATCGCTTCCGTCCGCTTGCGGGCTTCCTCCCGTCGCTTTCCTTCACGGGCCAGCTCCCGTGCCTCGGCTCGGTCGCGGCCCTTCGCTTGTCGGCTGAAAGAATCGAAATCCACGGAAGCCCACAACGAGGAGCCGCTACGAGCCTGGCAGCTGCCCTTCACCTCGGGGCTTTCCACCAAGCGAATCTCGACACAGGTGACCGCCGTATCCGCCACTTTGACGTCGCAGGACATCTTAGGATAGACAAGCTCCCACTCCTCACTCCGAAGTCTCACTTCGACGGGGGTCCGTAGGTCGTTCGTCACATTCAATAAGGCCATGGCGTCGCTCGCTCTGGGCACAACCAAGGCTGCAAACCGCGCTTGTCTTCCAGAAAGTTCAATATAAAACCACCATCAACAACCGATCATCCGCTGCGAAGTACATGGCTGTTTCCGAACGAACTTAATCACGGTTGAGAGCCGGGTTTAGAGCACATGATGTGTCGTACGTGCTGGATATTGCGCTTCTTTCTGCTGTCCGCACGACTGCACCACTATTGCCTATCTTGCTGATTGTACTATGATGCCACCCTAGGCCATAGAACAACGATGACAACCTCGCAAGCATGTAGCTTTCTTAGGATGCTGGAGACTACTTGAAGGGTCATGGGACTTAGTAACTACAGTTATAAATACGGTAACTATACTTATGATTACTTATAACCCCAATTAAGGTACTTATAACCTTAGTTACTCAGTCCCATGATCCTCTAAGTACTGATCACAAAGCGTTCCAAGCCGAAGCCAGCCAGAGACTCCAATATCCCTTAATTAATTAAGGAACATACCTTAGATCATATTAGGGATCCTACTATAATTTAAGGTATATTCCTCAACTAACTATAGTTTAAGGCATATTCCTTAATTAGGGGATATTGGAGTCTCAGGGTCGTCACGATGAAAACGGCAGCCCAAAGTCTCCAGCTCATCCCTCAGAGACGGCATGAGCCCTAAAAAGGCCCCGGAGACTCCAATATCCTTGAATGAAGGACTATACTGAATATACCTTAACTTGGCGTACTTCTGAACCCCTCCTAAAAGTTAAACTTTTAGCCTAGATATTATAGTTCATATAGAAACCCAAAAAAGTTAAAGTCTAAAGAGCCAACCAGAAGAACGCTAAGTTAAATTATAGTAGGACCCTTAAATCGTCTTTTCCTTAATGAAAGGATATATAGTAGGATCCTTAATATGATAAGGTATATTCCTGAATTAAGGGATATGGGAGTCTCTGAGCCTTCAGGTTCATATACCATATAGGGGCTCATAGTCTAAGGTTACAGGGGCCCTGCTCTTAATGGCCATTTGGTCCTGACCAGGCAGGCATCAGCCCCCAAACCCTTAAAACCCTAAACCTTAAACCCTAAAACCTGATAAACCCTAAACCCTAAACCCGAAGCCTTAAACCCGAAGTCCTAAACCTAAACCCTATAAGCCCTAAACCCAGAGCCCACAATCGTAGAGCGCACCCTTGATCACCCGCCGACATCATGAGGGCTACAGGGGCCTGCAAGCTTGATGATGATCTTTCTTAGGGTTTAGGATTAAGCGGGTTTAGGGTTTAGCGGGTTTAGGGCTTAGGGTTTAAGGGTTTAAGGGTTTTGTATTTAGCAGGGCGGAGGGTTTAGGGTTTAGCGGGTTTAGGTCTTAGGGTTTAGGGTACACACACAAACCCTACTTTGTACTGTATACCTTAACCTAAAACCTAATATGGAATTTATAGGGACCCTACAAGTAAGTAGGCTTTGGTAGGTTAAGGTAGGTACTTAGGACCTAAACCCTAAACCCTAAACCCTAAACCCTAAACCCTAAACCCTAAACCCTAAACCCTAGAGACATTTTGGGAAAGCAATCTCCAGGAGTCGGGGGTTCGGGGCAGGCGACTCAAGGGTTTCAAGGTGCAGTCTCTTTTGGTTCAGTGGTTTAGGGTTTAGGGTTTAGGGTTTAGGGGTTTAGGGTTTAGGGTTTAGGGTTTAGGGTTTAGGGTTTAGGGTTTCAAGGTGCAGTCTCTGTTGGTTCAGGGTTTGTAGGGTCTCAAGGTCTTATCAATCAGCTCTAAGCACGAAACCCCGAAAGCCTAAACCCTTGCTCGGCTTAAATATATATATATATATATACATATATACACACATATATACATATACACATACACATATGCATTTGCATATATGTATATATATATATACACATATGCCTATATATATATATATATATATATTATACATATACATTATAGCCCTGAGCTGCGTTTTGATGGGTCCTGCTTGGCACACGCTCCTCTTTGGGATTCGGGCCTGGGTCAGCACCTGTTCGGCTTTCCCAGATTTCTGATGTACCTGGGCCCTATGGGTTAGGGTTTAGGGTTTAGGGTTTAGGGGTTAGGGTTTAGGGTTTAGGCTTCAGGGCACACCATCGTTTCTTAATTGCACCTAACCCTCAAGCGGTTATGCAAAAAAAGGCACTACCTATGAGGGTCTAGGTAGGGCTTCCGGATCTAGAAAATTCTAGGGCTTCCCACCGGAGGGAGTGTAGCTCTACTTGAGGGGTCGAGGGACTTCCCTGAACCCTGAACCGTAATGAAGGGGCCATAGTATATACTTATTAAGGCTCCTACATTAAACCTTAAACCCTAAACCCTAAATCCACAAACACAACAAAACCTCAAAGTCCGGGGCCCCAGGGACCTGAAATTAGTCGCCCTCGAAAACCCAAGCCCCAAAACCTACTTGGAGGGTCGGAGGATTGAGTATCTCGATAATTAGTGAACTTACAAGTACGCTAAATGGGACCCTATTTGGGGTCATGATACTTACATGTCTACCGAAGAACTACTTACAAAGTTCACCCTAAACCCTAGTAAAACCCTAAACCCCTAAACCCTAAACTCTAAACCTCCAAACCCCGAAACCCTAAACCCCTAAACTCCTGCACCCTAAACCCCTAAACACTAAACCCTAAACCCCTATACCCCTAGGGGGCTTAGAGATCAGGATCTTAGGGTCGGCTGGGGAACCTACCTTTTGTTAGGGTTTAGGGTTTAGGCTTCAGGGTTTGGGGTTTAAGGTTCAGGGTTTAGGGTTTGGGGTTCAGGGTTTAGGGTTTAGGGTTAGGAAATATATGAACAAACCATGATGAACAACAAAAAACAAGATCGCTTATTTGGGGTCCAGGTAGGGTTTAAGGATTAGTATCCTGTATAGGTTCGGGATTTGGATTTGAAATTCCCTTAGGGTTTAGGAGCTTATGGGGTTTAGGGTTTAGGGTTTAAGGTTTAGAGTTTAGGGTTCAGGGTTTAAAGTTTAGGAGTTTTAGGGCTCTTCGATTCACGGAGCCCTGATAACATCTAATCACTTAGTCAGGGGCAGCGATGCATTTGGTTTCGGAGTCGTGCTAAAGTCCATGGGGAAAATCCTCAGTGCATGCATTTGGGAGAGCTTTACCTAAACACGATACCCCAAACGCCGAACCCCTGTATTAAGCCGTACATCCTAACTCCTAAACACTGAGCCGCAGGGTTGAACCTTGCAAGGTTTACCTCCCCTTTCTGAGTACCTGAACGGCCCAACCACCTTGACTATCATGCTGCACCTGCCATCAGCGCCTTTAAAACTGCCTCCTACACCCCAAATACACTGAAGTTGTGATTTCAGAACTCCCGGATCTGTTCTGAGAATAGTTACTTAGATACATACTCACAATAGGAAGACTATATTCATTCTTATACTCAGATTAGTAGAACAACTATCTGCCATAAAAACCCAGACTTTCAGGGCAGCAGGAGTTGCCTGCCGGTGTGAAACAGCGGCCTCACTGATCATGGGACTTCATTGACCCTGGGCACAGTCTTTGCTTGTTTTGCTGTGCTGCTTCGGGGCTTGAGGTTTAGGGTTTAGGGTGTTGTGGTTAGGATTTAGGGTTAGGGGTGTTGTGGTAAGGGTTGAGAGTTTAGGGTTTGGGTGTTATAGGGTGTTGTGGCGAGGGTTTGGGGTTGAGGGTGTTGCTGGCGGTGTTTTTTTGAAAGTTTTCAAGTCTTGAAGGCATTGGTTCATCGACTCAAGGAATTTGCCTATGATAAGCCACGTAGTGTTGATGATATAAATCCTGCAGTACCTGAAATATTCCTTATTATGCATAATGCAGGATTTATATCATCAACCATAGTTTCTCCTGCCGAAAGCACAGAACCTAATCTCTCTGAAGCTTTCATGAAAGAGGTCATGCCACGCGAAACCCTACACCTCAAACCGCCACAGAGCAGGGTCGCTACTTAAAGGATCATGGGACTTAGTAACTAGGGTAATAATTGAGGTAGCTATACTTATTATATTTACTTGTAATCCAAATTAAGGTACTTATAACCCTACTTACTAAGTCACATGATCCTCCAAGTACTAGACCCTAAACCCAAACCCTAAACCCTACGTAAGTTGAAGAAACCCACAGCTGTAGCTGGGCTTCAAGTTCCGTCTACTGGGCACGAAGCTTGCAGTGTTATATGTAAGAGTCAGCACTAGTCAGAGCTCCTAATATGGTTTAGGGTGTAGGGCCTAAGCCAACACAAGCCGAAATGGCCAGTTGCTGACGGACAGTCGAAGAAGCGCAGTTGTACATACCTGAACCCGAAAAGCCTAAACCCTAAACCCTAAACCCTAAACCGTGGCTCTTTAAAGCACCCTAGGCCCTAGAGAGTAGCCGTTATAGCAACCCTTGTATAGAAAGCCTATAAAAGAATCCTGCTAGGACTTATGAAGGCAACTAAACTCAAACCCTCAAGCCCTAAACCCTCAACCCGTAAACCCTAAACGCTTAAACACTAACGGCTCGCAGGGCAAATTCTTGCAGACATGGATCAGGTTCGGGAGGACCGCAGACCGGAATTCTGAATCCCGGACCCTATGGCTCCGCGTACCCTCTAAGGGATCCTTTAAAGGGTAGGGTTTACTGCTTAGGGTTTGGGGTTTAGGGTTCAGGGATCCTTGCAAGGGTTCCCTTAAGGGTTCTGTCAGGGCTTTAGGTTTCAAGGATGGATTAGGGCTTGAGGGGTTCCATGTGTGTACCCGTTGGTGTATACTTTGGCCTTAGAGTGGCACCTATACAGAAATTTTAAGGCTAACGTATATATTATCTGGGCATATGGACCCTTAGGGTAACCCAAAACATAGACCCTACACCCTCCAACCCCAAACCCTAAACCCTAAACCCTAAACCCTAAACCCTACACCCTAAACCACAAATAAACCTTCAAGGGCCCAAGCCGTGCAACCAGGCATCATTCTGAGTCACCGAACCGACCTCCAAGGACTTGCAAGATTGCCTGGCACCAGGACACAGGGGACTCGGGGGCTCTAGGGTTTAGTTTAGGGTTTAGGGTTTAGGGTTTAGGGTTTAGGGTTTAGGGTTTAGGGTTTAGGGTTTAGGGTCTCCATTATTATAGGATCCTGCATAAAGATACCGTTTTTTTGCTGCTGTTCTATAAGGGAGCCCGGCGGCAAATCAGATTGCTAATGATTCAGACTCCCATATTATTCAACTTGTATAACACAACAGCTTACAACAATCCCGTATAAATTATTGCAATACTCTGCCAAAAAACGGCTAAACATATAAAGCCTTGTAGAACCGTTCTACAGCCCTGAGAAACCCAAAGAAATCCTCACACAACCCTCAAAAAACCCAACCCAACCCGGTGACACTCCCCAACCCCTATAAACCCTATAAGCCCTATAAGCCCTACAAACCCTGTAAGCCCCGTAAACCTAAACCCTAAACCCTGTAAACCCTAAACCCTGCAATGCCTGTAAACCCCATCTTAGGGGCTGAGTACCCTAGCCCAAAACAGGTTAACCAACTATAGTAGGGTTATATATAAGCCCCAGAAGGTTAAAGGTTATCTACTCAGCTACTTACCCTAAACCCTAAACCCTAAACCACTCAGCTACTAAGCCATAAGCCCTGCACCCGAACGGCGGCCTGGCACTCTTTCCGCACCTTTCCGGTCTCGTGCAGAAGGAGAACCTCAAGTCTGAGGTAATGTCGGGGCCTTAATAAAAAGCATGGGGTTTTGGGGGTTCCTTGTTCTGATTACAGTATAATCTACCCCAAACCCTATTCTAACTATTCAGGCCCCTATAGTAAGTTCCGCGATTGAAGGTACCCTGAACCCCACGCACTTTAAACTTTAGGGGTGCAAGCATTAGGGTTCGGGGCCCCAAATCCTGAACCCAAATACCGTAAACCACAAAATTTGCCCCCACGTAGAGTCCTTCACCCACAACTAAGACATTACAAGTCTCTCAGGGTCATGTCCCATGTCTACAGTAAGGGTGGGCAAGCCCTAACCCTAAACCCATGTCTCCCAAAATGAAGAGAAAGAGGCCATGTCGGCGGATTTCGCGTTGCCGCGCACTTTTGCGATTCCTTCGCAAAACTCCTGCACTGACAGAGCTCCATGAATGTCGTCCCCGTCATCGAGAAGGTGGAACAACCTAGGTTTTTTGAAACTGTTCTTGAAGGATTCGGGGAAGTTGAGTGTGAGAGCTTCGGTTTGGGGGTTTAGGGTCTGTTTGGGGTGGACCAGGGACAGCTTACAACCCTAAAACTACCGCCAAAATGCAGCAAAAACCCTGCACACTAGCAACCGACATGCACTGTATTGAAAAATGATCGTACGTGTTCATTCTGAACTCCTGCACGGAGAAAACCCAGCGCTCAGCGCCCACTAAGACTGCAGAACCGGGCTTCGGACATCATGACTTGATGCTGGAAGGGTTTAGGGCTTATTGTTTAGAGTTTAGGGATCAAATGCTTGGGGCTTAGAGGTGTAAGGTGTGAGGTTTAGGGTTCAGGGTGTAAGAGTTTCGGGGTTTAGGGTTCATGGCTTGAGGCCGGAAGCCTACGTGTCAAGTATCCTCGGGGAACTAAAGGGCAGTCGTTGAGACTATGTATGGGTTCAAGAACCCTAAACCCTAAATCCTAAACCCCAAACCCTAAATCCCAAACCTAAACGCTAAACCCTATAAATCCTAAACCCTAAACCCTAAACCCTATTTGGCTTTCTGGCTTCTGGGTTTGACGGTTTAGGGTTTAGGGCGTTTGGGGTTTCTTACTTGCGGTCCAGTGTTGTGAGTCTCAGGCTTCGAGAGGAGGCAAGAAGCATCCGGGCATCACGAACGTCCATGTCCAGCACGCTTAGGTAGTGCTTGATCTCCGGAAGCGTCAACATCCGCTCGAACTCCTGCACAAGTGTTATCGATACTTGAATACTATGACATTGCTGTGTGGTCTGCAAGGAAGATGTGTGCCATTGCTTGGCCTTCCGGTATGCCATGAACTCGTGGAAATCCTAAACTACGCTGAACCCCACGCCGCCATTTGGAGGAAGCTCATGATCAAGTGACTCATATACAGAGCTACTGTGGTGCCCGCAGTCGGGCACCACTGTCCTGCTGCTTCAGGCTCTTCTTCAAGTATGTACTCAAGGGTTCATGGGACTTAGTAACTAAGGCTGTAGATAAGCCGACTAACTATGCCAAACTCTAAACCCTAAACCATAAACTTACTTCTTACAGCCCAAATAGAGGTACTTGGAACGTTACCCATAGGCCCCATAGTAGTTCCTTTTTGTGGCTTATGTTTTATTAGGTAATCCCAAAAAGGAACTACTATGGGGCCTATGGGTACTTACTAAGCCCCATGATCCCCTAAACCCGAAACCCTAAACCCTTAACCCTAAACCCTGAGCCCATGAGGTTGCCCCCCAGCCAGCTCCAGCCCGGCACAGCCCAGCTCCCGGCCCTTCCCCGGCCCACCAAGTCCAAAAGCAGGTTTCAAAAGGGGTTTAGGTTTTGGGGTTTAGGGAAACGTTTCGGTCAAAACGTTTGCGTCGAAATGTGATTGGCACCGGAACCCTGAACAACTTCTACAAACCCTAACCCCTAAACCCTGAAGCCCTAAAACCCTCAAGCCCTAAAGCCCTAAACTCTAAACCCCATATTAAACCCTAAAACCCTAAACAAACCGGGAACCCCGAGCCTCCAGATCATGAAATGGAATCTCAAAGGGTTTAGGGTTTAGGTAAGCCCTACCTGCAAAACCAGAGCCACGGTTTAGGGTTTAGGGTTTAGGGTTTAGCGTTTAGGGTTAACTACCCTGTAAAAAAAGGAACTCTATAAAGAAGCCATAATAGGGAACCCTCAAATCAAAAGGTAGGGGTTTCGGGTCATAGGTAACCCAAGCCTCGAAAATCTCAGGTCTATTCAGCAACTGCCAACGCAGTAATACAGGGGCCTTAATAATTGGAATAGGGTGTTAGGGTTTTAAGGTTTAGGGTTTTAGGGTTCAGGGTTGAGGGTTTCATGTAGGGGCCTTAATAATTGGAATAGCGTTTTGGGGCCCTTTCATAGTATATTTTCTTGATCAGGAACCCCCAACAATCGTGTAGGTAATTATTAAGACCCCAAAATTAAGACAGACTCATGGGCTCTGAAACCCTAAACCCTACACCCTAAACCCGATATTAAACAGACTCATGGGCTCTTCCTAGGACTCTGCCAGACATAAAGGCCGGGGATTCTTTGCACTGATCCTGAGGGCTTCGGTTTAGGGTTTAGGGTCTAGGAAGTTTAGGGTCTAGGTAGGGTTTAGGGTTTAGGAAGTTTAGGCTTTAGGGTCTAGGAAGTTCAGGGTCTAGGGTCTAGGAAGTTTAGGGTCTAGGGTCTCGGAAGTTTAGGGTCTAGGGTCTAGGAAGTTTAGGGTTTAGGGTGTAGGGTCCTTGAGAGTCAGATATCCATCTCCATCGGCATCGGCATCGTTGAAGACCTGTAGCAGCTTGTCCTGGAACGGGGATGCAGTTAGGGTTTAGGCTTTAGGGATGCAGGGAGGATCGAAGTGCCTGGGAACTAATACCCTACCTGTTGCCACCGCTTAGGATCCGAATATTACAAGGACCTTAATTTGTTACAATAGGGTGTTGGGGCATACTGTACCTTGGTGTTCGTATCATATTAAATAAGGAGCCCTTACCCTACGGCCCTAGGGGTCCCGACACTTTTTGGGATCCTCAAAATGAGGACTTCTGATCCCCCAGACAGACCCAAGGGCTCTCCTTAAGAGATTCCAGACACTCCCACGGAGATAGCCAGACCCTTAGTGCAGGAATAGTATAGTAACTGTAGTCTCCATTTGTAGTTCCTTTTTGGGGTTACCCTATAGGATCCTAAATATAGAGTTTGGTTAAACCAAAAACGGAACTACCAAGGAACATGTAGGGAATTGTTTAGGCCCCTGCAGAACTTCGCGCCCGGTGGAGTTGGTCCTGCAACTCAGCCGACCGCCGCATTCGCTCGAGGATGGCCGCAGCAGCGTCATCGTTCAGAACTTGCCTGGTATCCAACTTATGATAACTATGAGGTGTGGCCCTAATACCCTAAACCCCTAAAGCCCTAAACCCTAAACTCTAAACCCCTAAGCCCCTAAACCCCTAAACCCTAAAACCCAAAAACCCCTAAACCCCCAAACAAGCTGATAGCCTTAAACTTAGAAAGCCCTGCAATCCTCCAGGAAGGGACAGGTCCCTAAACTACCCAGAGACTCCAATATCCCGTAATTAAGGAATATACCTTAAACTATAGTAGGATCCCTAATATGATTTCAAGTATATTCCTGATTTAAGGGATATTGGAGTCTCTGGGTACCTAGACACTGGACGCCCGAAGCCTCGCCCAGCCTTATAGAGGGGCCTGAATAAGTTTGGGGGGTTCCTTTAAAGGGTTCCTTAAAGGGTTCTATAAGGGCTACTATAAGGGTTTAGGGTGTGGGGGCCGTACTAATGAGAATAGGGTCTTGGGGGGTATTATGGTAGAACAAAATAAAGGAACCAGCCAAAATAAGATAGGGAACTTTTAAGGCCTCGAAATTAGACTCCAATGCAAGGCTGTGGTACCGAGCAACTCTATAGGGTCTTTAGGATTTCGATTTTTGCAGACTTATGGACAGTGTGCGGAGGATACCAGCCTTAGCGTCCTAGCCTGAGTGAAATGGAAGATCAACCGAACATGCATGACGGTTTAGGGTTTTGGGTTTAGGGTTTTCGAACTCACCGAGTTAAGAGATATATCCCTTAAATCTTATTGGGTAGCGTACTATAATTTAAGGTATATTCCCAAAATTAAGGGACTTTGGAAGGCCCGGGTCTTTCAAGCAGCCGTGATGGCTTCGAGTTTACTGAGCTCTAGCTGCTGTTCAGCCATCGGTGGGTAGGGTTTAGGGTTTAGAGGATTAGGGTTTAGGGTTTAGGGTTTAGGGTTTAGGGTACGGTTTAGGGACCTACCCTAAACCCTAAACTCTAAACCCCAAACCCCTAAACCCCTAAACCCTAAAACCCTAAACCCCTAAACCGTTCCCAAACTACCATGCAGTGCCATTCTTTGAAAGCAATCACACATGAACAGCACCACAGAATTGTCTTTTAGGGGTTTAGGGTTCCTTACAGGTTTAGGGGTTTGGGGTTTAGGGTTTAGGGGTTAGGGTTCCTTAAAGGGGATTTTGGGATTTAGGGGTTTAGGGTTCCTGATTATGCTTCAATCTTGAGGCGTGTTGCCTACTCTCCCCAGCGCTCTCAGTACTCGGTACACCATCCTTTCAATTCTGCGGCATCTAGGGTTCCATGCACGGCTTTAAAACAAGCTCCACCGCCACATAATGTAATCAATAACTTCATCAGACTCCATCAACCAACCCTAAACCACCCAATTAAACCTAACACCCTGAATTCCGAAACCTTTAGAAAACTGAACCCCTGTTCTCGAATCCGGCTCAGGCACATCGTCGACCGAACAAAGAGCGCCGTAATGAGTCGCAGTGCAGCGAAGACGATGGCAACGACGTAGATCAAGGTTCTGGGTGCAACTTCGGGTTTAAGGGTCACATGTTGGGGCTCTTCGGAAAGGACTTTAACTTAAAACTGTCGCCCCTAAACACTAAACCCTAAACCCACGTTGTCGGAATCTGCGTCCAGCACTGAGTCGAGCTTGACGACATGGGGTTTGGTCTCAGGGCCTGGGGTTTGGTGTGAAGAGTTTTGTGTCGCTCAACCCCAATTGCCACACCCCACCTTAACCGAGCAAAACCTAGTGTTTGCGGGGCCCCCAGAAATTTCATGTTGGTGGAGAAAATACACACCTACAGAAAAGAAGGTTATGGTAGTGTAGGACAAATTCTCAACCCCGAACCGCTGCTGGGATCCGAGGCTTTACGACCCTAACCCTAAACCCCCCATCATTGCGGCTCACATGGGCTCCCGTTGCCCCAATCGGGAGTCATAGGAAGTTTAGGACTTTAAGGGTTCAGGGCTTTAAGGGTTTATCACAGGGCTGAGGGTTTCGGGTTATGCAGAAACTCGTAGGGTTGATGGTTTAGGAAACCCGGAAGACTCCCTAGCATGCAACAGAGGAAGACATGAATTTGGCGAAGCCCCGTAGCGGCAATCCAGAGCTCTTGAAACCTACCGTATCACGAAGGCTCAAAAAGCCCAGAGGCCTTGCATAGTCTTCAGGTACGTACGAAAACCTTGAAATGTGGGTCCTCACAGCCCTAGGCTCTTTCGTTTTTGCAAACCCTCTGCTCGCCGACCCTGGCCCCTAAGACCCATGTCCATCATATAGCCCTCATGTATTCTTCGAATAGGGTTCTGTGGTACACTGTAGAATCTGTAGAAGCATGTCAAGCAACCCTGAAGACAACCTGCTGCCTTTTCAGCCTTCTAAAGTTCTCAAGGTGTGCTTTTTAGCCTAAATCCTAAACTCCAAACCGCTGGACGCTAAACCCTAAACCCTATAAACCCTATAAACCCTGAAGCGTAAACCCTACACCCTCAACCTTAAACCCTAAGTCCTTAAACCCTAAACCCTAAAACCCCAAACTCTAAACCAGGCACGGAATGACGAAGAGAACGCTGACTTCGTCCACCAGAGGTCGCACGAGCCCCGGCCATCCGCCGCTGAACCTCTTCAGCAGGGCTTCGGCTTTAGGGTTTAGGGTTAAGGCTCTAGGCTTATGGGGTTTAGGGTTCAGGGTTCAGGGTTTAGGGTTTAGGGTTCAGGGTTTAGGGTCTATAGTTTAGGGTTTAGGGTCTATAGTTTAGGGCTTAGGGTTGAGGGTTTAGGGTCTATAGTTTACGGTTTAGGGTCTAGGATTTAAGGTTACAGGGTTTAGGGCTTCGGCTTTGGGGTTCGGGGCTTGGGGTTTCAAGGCTTAGGCTTTGGATGATTGAGGGTCAAGGCTCCGTGGAAGTTCGGGTTTGTGAAAGGTTACAAGTATGGGCCCCAAATATGGACCCTTAGGCCTTTCTAGGGACCCTTAAGGGTATATATATATATATAGGGTATATAGTAGGTATATAAGGATCCCACCCTTAAGGGCCCATATTAGGGGCCCATGGTTTCAACCTGAGAGTTGTGGGCTTTCGAGTTTCAGGCATATGGGTTTGGAGAGTTCAGGCGCAAAGCTCCAAGAAAGCCCCTCAAAGCCTCTGTGCAGCTTCGTCGAGCCGAAATCCACCAAGCCCTGCTAAAAGGCAGACCCCTTGCAGAGGCTCCCGGCAGGTGACTGTCAAAATCATGATCTCTTTGAGGAATCATATAAAACTCCACACTTGATATGGCAGCCTAAAGTCTAGGAACCCAGCAAAGGACCCTAGTTTTGACAACCCGAAACCCCAAACTCCAAACCCTAAATCCCGAAACCCTAAACCCTAAACCCTAAACCCTAGACTAACCCTTGACAGTCTGTGTTTGACAACCCTCCCCACGTGATCTCGAACATGGTGTACATCGCCCGGAAGAAGCTGCCGTAGCGGATGAAGAGCCACTCCCGCCGATCGATGCCGATGGTCGTTGAAGTCTCAACCTGTCTTGGGGCCATGTTTGGGGGACGGTTAAGGTTGAGGGTTTGGGGTTTAGGGTTGGGTTTTTTTTTGGGCCGGGCATTTAACGGTGTAGGGTTACTCAGCTCCGGTTTTGCGTAGAGTTGAGGGGTATTTACTGATGACGGTATCATGAAACACGCAGAGTGACAGTGGTTGCAATGACATCACCTGTAAGTTACAGGCTGTAACTATATAGTCCAGTCGTAGAACCGGTTCTGGCAGTAACACGTCTCAGCACGACCAACCAGAACAAGGAGCGTGCTCAACCCTCAAACTCTAGACCTAAGCCCTTAAACCCGAAGAGCATCCCAGCGGCAATCAGGGGTACGACAGACTCGCACAGAATCAGTGCCGCAATCAGCATGCAGACCAGCCTCACAGCGCCGACGACAGCTTTGTAGCTTGGCTGGATGGTTTAGGGTTTACCTTGACCCTAAATAACCTACCTTTTTAAGGACTTATATAAAGAAATCATAATAAGGAACCCTAAAAAGGTAGGTTCTTTAGGGTCCAGGTAGGGGTTTAGAGCTTAGAGTTTACGGCAGCGCCGACAGCAGCTTTGCAGGTTGGCTGGATGGTTTTAAACACCAACCCTCAGGGTCCACCTAGACCCCGCAACAAACCTGTGTTGTAGCCCAAAACTACTCCTTAATGAGGAATAAGAGAGATCCTAAACCCTAAATCCCATTGAAGGGTAGTTGGGGGGCCCAGGCATGTACCCAAATAGTACACACTTTGGCCTTGAAGCTTTAAGGTAGTCCGAAAAAGAAGTACTTTGGGACCAAAGTCTATCCTATCTGGGCACATGGATCCTTGGGACATGGTTTTAGGCACCATGTGCAACTGTTGATGATACAAATCCTGCATTACCTTGAGGACCCTTAACTATGGAAATTATGGTGTATTCCTTACTATGGGTACTCTAAACCCTAAACCCTAAACTTGTTCTGGTATATTCCTTGTTATGGGCAATGCAGGGTTTATATCATCAAGCGAAGGAGTACGGGCCTACAGCAGAGCCGGTTTTCGCTAAGGGCCTGAATGCTGGGATGCCTGCATGCATGCTTTTTAGGTTTTAGGGTGTAGGGTTTAAGGGTTTAGGTTTTAGG